CGTGGCCTCTGGGCCAGCCAGCTGAAACTGAAGAGAAGGATTAAGAACTTGCAACTATAAGCAACAGAAAGAACCTTTAACTGCCTTAAACCAACTGAGAAATACACCGTAGAGAAGGATTTTATCTACCTATGGACAGTGAGAAGATGATGGATACCAGCCCTGCATTACCTCAGGCAAGAACAGGCACTACCCTGCCATTCTTAGGGAAGCCAGATACCAGAGGATAAGTCACGCTGCAGACCTCCACAACACCGTTCCTGCTAACCACAAGATGGCTGCTGTGCCGCATCAACTGATGGTCAACTCTGCTTGCCAGAACTGCCTTCCGGAGACTGTATTCCATGGAGACTCACCTACAGTTGCGGAACTGCACGAGACCCACACTTGATCCAACCTTGAATGGAATCTATTTTCCCTATTGTTAAAAACTTTGGACTCGTGACCCCTCTCCCTCTACTCGCAGGTATCGCATTTTCAATGACCCCTCTGGAGGATAGCTGTCTATAGCAGAGATAGAGTAATTGGGAGAGGGGGAAAGGGCTGAGGGTCAAACATAGGATAAAAAACATATTTATATGTATGAAAGTAGAAATGGAACAGTATTGGTGACGACATGCTTGATTGAGACACTATGCAGTTTATCCTAGATGGGAAACTACACTTGGTGTGTTGTGATGATACTCAGGGAATGAGTGTTAGGCAATATAATTTAATATAAAAAAAAATAATAATAAGCAGGAGGAAAAAAAAATGCACATTTGATGACTGAAGAGAGGTGTATGGACACAACTGGGGACTACTTTATAGTATGTGCATTCTACTCCCTGGGGTTTATGCCTAGGATCAGATTTGGATACATGTGTAAGGATATGTCAGCTGTGCTAGCTAGTGGATATATTTAGACAAATTGAGTTCATTGGTAGAACAATTGAATGGGGGGGGGGCGGAAGCCATTGAGGGCAATCATGAATGTCAGGGACAATGGAGGAGGAAGATGGGACATGGCAGAGGGTGGGGATGGGGAACCTAGGATGGCAAAACAAAAGGCAAGGTATGCAGGACACAAAAATTGGGAAATCATTTGCTGAGAACATATATGTTGATGTGCTTGATTGAGCCAATGCACAGTGTATTTTGGATGGAAAATTCATATGTGTGTTGTGATGAGAAAAGAAAAAAAATTTATAATAATAAAAAACTCTATAATGAAAAAAAAAATATTGGTATGGTTATAGAAGATACTGAAACTGCCTATAATGTTAAGGAAAAGCTTCAATATTCCTCGCTATTTCTTTTCCCATTTTCCTATTTCCTACCAAAGTGATTAAAGGGCCAAAACCAAACAGGCCTTATATATCTTTTGAAACTCAGAAGAAAAGTCCCTATGGTATCTTTATGAGTCAATTATAAAAACTATAGTGAACACAATTGTTTTAATGCTTCTTCTGTGAGAGTAAATCTTCCAGAGAACTGACACTTTCAGTGACCAAAGCACCAGAGAGTTATCTCAAAGGAACCTGTATAATACATGTACCACGCTTACATAAACACTCAAAAATCCCCAAACAGCAATTTTTAGATGATTGTTAAGCTAAGAATATTTCTGGCCCCAGATTATTTTAGGTTTAAGAGAAGAGTGGCAAATAATCTAATGTCTACATTTTTCCATTGAATACCTAAAGGAGGAAGAATAAAGTACATAATGATAATCAGTTACTAAATGGAATATTCTCACTCTACATTTAAAAGCTGAGTTATAAAACACATGAGGGGGGGTCTTCAAAAAATTCATAAAAATATTTTGAAATACTTCAAAAAGTATTATGAAAAAGTATAGAATTACATTTTTTTTCAGCAAAATAGACTCAGATTTTAATTCCAGTTTTCTATGAACTTAAAAAAAAAATTTCCTTATACTTGCCTAGTGGTAAAACCCCTGAGGCTCTCCTGCACTTCTCTTAAATACAGGAGATTAGTATTAGAAGAAAAGCAATCACATCATTTGTCATCACTTTTTTTTGGGACTGGCCACCGAGAGACAAAAAAGGAAAGAGCACAGAAAATGACAAATAACCCCTCTAGGGAGGAGAGCCATGCCACAATCCCTTCTCCTCTATTCTCCTCTTAGGATTTTGGGCATACACGCACATGCTCCCCATGTGATTTTTAAGCCACTAGGTGCAGGACATAATCCATGGTTGGCTATGTGAGATCTAGTGCCTTAACAACCACACCACCTGCTGGTCCTGGTCATCATTTCCATTAGGATAAGACATGATCATACTCATGTACAAGGAATATTCTAGAATTTACAACACAGATGCTATTTTGTATGATTTACCATGGCCCTTCAAGTGTGATTTCTAAGTAAAATAAGTAAAAACTTTATACTTACATGATCGAGAAACCTTAGTAGGATTTTTTTCTTCTTTTTTTTTTTAGAAGAGAGTCTCATCTTCCTGTCCAGCTCTGTTTCTTATTTAAGCAATTACCACTCTTTAAGGTCTTATTAAGAAAGCTAGTTACGTTCTTATTTCCAGGGGTATGAAAATGTTAAGGAAGCCATGTTGTAGACTTATCATGCATTAATTAGTCCTTGACGGCTGACATTTCAGCTTAATATTCACGTTTCACCTTCGTGGCTTATTTTTTTCTCCCCTTAGGTGGAAGCCAATCAGAGACTGAAGTCAGGCAGAAACAACAACTCCAACTGATGCAATCTAAATACCAGCAAAAGGTCAGAATCTATCTTTTTTAGTCTAATTTTGGCAAGGATTTTTGAGTACCAGCACTTTCAAGTAACCATTATATAAAACAGTACTTTTTACCAAAAGCATAAAACTAATTGCAAAAGTGAATTCTAAAGATTAAAGAAGTCAGGAAGTAAAAAAGTGAAGAAATAAATACCCAGAACTTCTATGCAAGCCATATGCAAGACCATCAGTTAAGGAACTTTTTCTCCCTTAGTTGAAATTAACTATGTTTTAATGGTAGTGTAAGTCTACTGTATTTAGAATATTTTGGTGCTAAGCCCATGGATTTGTTTACCCCATGCCAGTTGAGGAGATCATATAGAAGAGATGTAAGATGCCCAGTGATTTTTACAGTGAACACTGGGTTTTATAATCAGAAAAATGTGCGTGCCTCTTCCCCTTCTCAATTCAGAGAAAGAATGAGTAAAAAAGAGAGAGAGGGAAGCCAAAGAAGAAACACAAATGAGAGAGATTTCATGACTATTCTCTGTGATCTGAGTAGCTTGAAGTCACAACCTATAATCATGGTGAGGTATAGCACAAACAATACTGTAATTTGCCTTTCATCATAATTTTGTGTTCCAGAGATTCAGACTGAAAAATGGTAACTGTTTTTTTTTGTCTCCTGTAATCTCAATACAATTTAGCTAAAAAGAGAAGAATCTGTAAGACTCAAGAAGGAAGCTGAAGAAGCTGAACTCCAAAAAATGAAGGCCATTCAGAGAGAAAAGGTAAGAAAAAGGTGGAGAGGATGAATAGCTACCATTTGCTGAGGATTTATCGAGTGCCAGGCTCTCTTCTAGACAAGGTCCTTATATTAACTAATTTATTTAATCCTCATAGTAGACCCATGAAGTACATATTCTTATTACTCAATTGCACAAATGGAGAACGTAATACAGAACGGGTAGATAACTTGCCCAAGAGATCAAGAGCCAATAAGTAAGAGGAACTGAGGTTCATACCCAGGTAGACTAACCTCAGAGCTAGTGTTCTTTTTTCTTTTTCTTTTCTTTTCTTTTTTTTTTTTTCTTAATTTTTTTAATCACAGTACAGCACACATGCATTCACCAGAGAGAAACAGATACAGTAAGAGGAAAAGTGAGAAATTATCCCCCAGAGATATCACAATCATGTCACAATCCCTTCTCCTCCATTCTCTCAGGAGCCTGACCATGCATGGACACACGACTGGTGTGATTTTCAAGCTACCAGGTGCCTCCAGGTCTAGGGCTCAAACCGCAGTCAGAGAAGTGGGAATCCAGCGTTGTAATCACTATGCTACCTGCTGGCCCCAGAGCTAGGGCTCTTAGTGTTTTCTTTCTGTTTGTTTTTGTTTTGAGAGATATTTTTGCTATAGGATGCACATGCTTGCCACAGAGAGAGAGAGAGAGAGAGAGAGAGAGAGAGAGGAGAGACAGAGAGACATAAAGTGAGAAATCACCCCACAGGAGGGAGTGGCCACACCGCAACCCCTTCTCCATTCTCTTCTTGGGATTTTGGGCATGCACGCACATACACCTGGCATGAATTTTAAGCTGCTGGGTCTGGGATTCAAACCATGGTCAACTATATGGGAGTCCAGCAATGTAACCATTATGCCATCTGCTGGTCCCAGAGCTAGTGTTCTTAATCACAATGCTGACTCACCTCTTAGGTGACTGAAAGTTGTAAACTGCATATTTGGGTATCAGGCAATAGGCTAATAACAATGGCAGTTGGTGGGACACTGCTGTGCTGATAGCCAAACAGTGTACTTTCCAGGGTAAGTGTGATGCAGGTGAATATGCCTGTCTTACTAATAAAAGAAAAAGCATACATTTGCACTTCCGTATTAGTGATATGATCTGTTCTAAACTTTAGAGTGATGTTTTAGTTTTGATACTCTGAGACTTAGAGAAAAAATTCTCATAAAAATGCACATCTGCTAGAGAAGAAGGAAGAATTCAGCATTGTCCTACCCCTACCCCCTTCCTCCTCCCATTTTTCACAATGTCTTAAGCTGGAGGTTTTAAGCATTGGAAATTTGGGAGCAGGAGGTCGAGTCATGATCCTGACCACCCTGTGTGACTCCTGGTGCAGGTATAATTCAGGGAGACACAATTCCTTTTCTGCTGTCTTTTTCTCCTACCTCGTTTTCTTTCTTCCTTTTTACTTTTAAAGATTAGGTGTTAGACAAAATTTAATGACGTCAACAAAGGTAAAGGCTTATTGCTTATAGAAGGCATGAAAGAATACAAGTTATCCTCTCCCCTGAGAAGCTTTATTCCTAGATAGGAGCAGACTAATCTTACTTGGAAGGTGGTTTGTTGTACTGTGTGACCATGGGCAGGCCCCCCTACTTTGGACTGTTCCTGTAAAATGAGTCTTAAAAGTATCACCTTTTCTTTTCCCAAATCCAAGAGCATCATTTTATAGTATAGATGTAGGCTGTGGTGATGGAGAGAAGATGGGACTTGGACATGAGGAACTGTGATAAAATGCTGGAAATATTAAAAGTATAGAAATTTTCTTTATTTTGGTGAAGTTTTAGCTATAGGGCGTTGTCGGCGTCCGCCCCAGGGCTTGGGTCTGGCTGAATCATGATCAGAGGGCTGCTGGTGAGGAAGAGAAAGAGGACAAGAGAAAGCCCTCCATCTTGCCAGGACCTGGGAATTGGAAAGAATGAGACAAAGAGATAGAGTAGAAATGGACACAGGCAGCCTGAGCCTAGGTAGCCCAAGCAACTTGTGCCACCCAGACAAACTGGACGTCTTTATTTATAGTACAAGGAGACGTTACACATGTACATTTCATGACACTTCATGGATTAGTTGCCAGGTTACAGACAATAAGAAGCCGTTAACAAATCTACAAGGGATTAGTCACACCCAAGGCAAGGTGTATCCCTTGGTGGTAATCCCATCTAGAGTAAATCTCATTTTCCTTTCTAATGCAGAGAACTAGCTGTTAGGTGTGGGGAAGGAGCTAAAGAATTTCTCCATAAGGAGTGCACCACCACACCCAGAGAAGGCTAAAGAACCTTTCAGATGCAGAGCAGGGATTGGACTTTACTAATTGGGGTCAAGATGTTTCTTGAAGTCCATCAGATGTGTCTGTTGGAACGCCCCTAACAATTTCCACCCTTGCTCTGTCTGCAGCCAAGGTCAGGGAAAGACAAGTTACAAGGTTCTGCCAAACCCCAAAAGAGCATGTGGTGTTTGCTCAGCACATGTCCCCACACCTCAGACTCTCTCTCTTAAACGTGTCCCCACAAGGCGTGTGCGCTAGCCAGAAAGATAGAGAGAGAGACAGAAAGTGAGAAATCACCCCCCGGGGGGATGGCCATGTCACAATCCCTTCTCCTCCATTCTCCTTTCGGGATCTTGGGCACGCATGCACATGCACCCTGTGTGAGTTTAAGCCACTGGGTCCGGGACTCCAACCATGGTCTACTACACGGGAGTCCAGTGATATAGCCATTATACTAACTGCTGATCCTGAGACTTTCTTTAAAATTTTCTTTTAGCAATCCATTTCTAGCTGATCAACTACTATATTTTTATTAAAAATATTTTTATTATAATATCCTTTTAAAATTTTACATGTCTTTATCTTTACAAAGAAAAAGACATGCTTCTCTATTCCTCCCTCTTCTTTTTCTTCATCTAACACTTTTATTTCTCCGATTTTTCTCCCATTTTTTTTTTTTATAATTGCCAGGAGGTGTATGTGCTTTCCAGAGAGAGATAGAGGGAGGCAGAAAGCACCCCATGCCTCAGGGAGCCTGGTCAATCCACAGCCCTCTCTCCTCCATCTCTCCGTCTATCGGGATTCGGAGCGTGCACACACACTTGCCTAGTTGCTTTCCAAGCCACCACGGCTGGGATTTGAACTATGTTTGGCCATATAGGATCTGATTCCCTTAACCACCAGACCATGAGGCTGGCTCCCTTCTCTCCTTTTAAGGAATAGTCATATATAGGATTTGTGATTGTAGAAGAGGTGCTCCCTTTACAGAACATTGTCTGCATTATAGGTAGAACAAAGAAAATCATCAATTCACCCTCAGGAACTGAATTAAGAGGTTTGCAGACCCCCAAGAATTATCCTAAAGTCATCTACTAGATGTCATTTAATACCCATAACTGGCTGGCTTACAGGTCATTTGCAGCCCATTTATTTATGGGTCACAACCATGTATTATTCATAAGTGTTAGGGGCTATAATTTTTGTTTTACATTGAGTGAGAGCAATACTTTTTTCCTTTCTAGTTTAAACCATAACACTAGACATATAGATACAGAAATCTTATTTGGATTGACTTTTCTGATATGATAACTGCAATGAATAGGCATAAATATGCTAGAAAGGAGAGGCCAGAAGTGAGAGGTTGGGAGAGAAGCTGATCAGTAGACCCCGTCCAAAACTTGGCTGTTGAAATGAGCAGCATTGATGTCACCTGGAAATTCGTTGGAAGTGCAGAATCTTGAGCCCCACCTCAGACCCAGTGAATCAGAATCTACATTTTAAAGAGCTCCCAGGTGACTCCTGTGCACATGAAAGTTTGGGAACATTAATTTAAATGACCTTGCAAAAGAGAGCCACCTATCCTGGTCCTTTCACAGCTTGATTTCTCTGGCTCATTGTCCCCATGACAGTGCCCTTTCTGCTATACTTCAATCAGTGGCTTTTCATAGTAAATATAAGCCTTTTTAGTAGTTTGTATCAGATAAAAGAAATGGACATCTAAGCAATGACATCTTGCATATTGCCAGTGTGCAAATGACCAAGGGAATGGCCATTGACTGTGCTTATGGGAAACTTTTTTTCTTTAATACACAGTAAACACACACATGGAAACCAGCCTGCAAAACATTGTCCAAGCAAATGGCTGCTGCCCTTTGTGAGCCAAGGAGAATTCAAGAAGCCTAGGGCCACCTAAGAGCCTCTAGCTTGGTTTCCAGTGTTGATCTCCCTTGCCCTTCAGTTTTTCATCTCCTAGGAGGAGTCAACGTGGGACACTGGCATTTGGTTCTGGGATTCAAAAACATAGTCTGGCTTGAATATGTGGATTTCAGTAATCAGCACGAGTACACTGGTGCTCATTCTGATTGGTCACCATCTGTGTGCATAGTATTGAGTGAAGGGAGAGTAAACGGATTCCCTCCCAGTATTTGTGGGTGTTCTTTGATCCTTAATGAACAGGAAGACATAAAAGGCAGCCAGCTCTTTAACATCCAGTCATGCCAATGGGATCTAGGAAGAATTACTCCTATGGACTAAGACAGAAATTTCAAGAGGGCACTGAGATGCTTCAGTCAAACCTGCATTCCCTAGACTTCAGTATATTAATAGTATATATGTATACTTCCAATGGTGTACCGAAGCCTCCTTTTCTTAGCTCATGAGAAGGGTTGTTCAATTTTCAGGATTTTTATGGGTTAGTTGATTTCATGTTGGTAGCTTAAAACTGATTGTGGAGGGAATATTTACACCACAGAAACCAGTAAATGCTACCTATCAACTTCCCCTCTTCCTCCCTGCCTAAGCCAACTGTTAAATGTTTACCAGCACACCAGTGCTTAGCACTAAATGAAGACAAGGGATAAGGAGGGCAGAGATTTTGGAAAATGTCTGGCATATTGTGTGTTTGATACTTAATAACTTAAAAATAGATTATAATCTATGTGATAGGCAAAATAATACTCTCCCCACAGATATTCCTCTAAGACATCCATTTTCTATTCCC